CTGGTTCCGGCAATAATCTCCAAACTGGTTCCAGCAATAATCTCCAAACTGATACATTTTTTTCAAACACCACCACTTTACATCCTGCAGCTGCTTTTCTTCAGAATAATCCTTCAGTTGTTTAAGATGCTGCAAACTATTGGCTCATACCCATTAGAAACATGGTACAGGCAGTCCCTGGGTTACATGGATCCGACTTACATCGGATCCCTACTTACAAACGGGGTAAGGCAACCCCGCACTAGCTGCTTCCCCCCCAGCAGACCAGGGAGACGCGAAGCTAGCGCGCCGCCCCCCCAGCAGACTAGGGAGACGCGGAGCGGCTTTTCTCAGCAGACACCTCAGCTTGAGAATAAAGGACTGAGGGAAGTGAGGTGTGGGAGAATAAAACTGAGCTCTGGAGAAATGTTTGGCTCGAGTTTCCCCTACAATATGTACCAGTTCTGACTTGCATACAAATTCAACTTAAGAACAAACCTACAGTCCCTATCTTGTACGTAACCCGGGGACTGCCTGTATATTAGAAATCGGTGCCTCCCTCCAGGAGGTATGTCATGGAACCGAATTGCTTTCCATTGTGCTAGTCTAGTCTGACACTACAGAACTATAATCTTTCCAGTGAGGCTTCCTGGATTATTTACTATTTGCCTATTTGATATCCATTTCTTGTATTAAAACCTTCTCCTATGTGTCATAGCTCAACTTAGAGAGAAAATTAAGTTTTGTGTAGCTTAGTTGCTACAGTACATAGCAGCCAGCCTCTCTAAGCATCCTTTGTTGTTCTCAATAGCAGGGTTATAGAAAGCTGCCTTCAAAAGTATTTATTGCTTGCCGGAGTGTGGCATTAGCCATGCTGACTGATAACATGGCACCACTTAGGAAACCAAATTCTTCTTTTAGAAGTTTGCCGTAGGGTCTGTCTACACAGCAAAAGAATAACTATGCAGCAGGGCTGAGCCTAGGTCAATTGACTTGGGCTCATATTGCAGGGTTAAGGGCAATGCCGTGTATATATCCAGGCTTCATTTAGAGCCCTGGCTTTGAAACCCAACAAGGAAGGAGGGGCTCTGTGACTAGGCTCCACCAAGTGCACAAACACCAACACTACTGCTTTTAGTCCCATAATGCAGGGTTCCTTCAGTTGATCTGGCCTCTGAAACTTGTGTAGACGCAAGCTTTCTGCTCAAGGCCATTTAGGATAGGCTCACACAAGGGAGCCTCTCCTAGTGGTTAGAGCATGGTAATAGCAGCCAGTCTGGCTGCTATTTCAGACTCCTCTAGTTTAGTTAAGTAGCCTAGTCTCTCTGCCAGTTTCTTCGGTATCCAATATTAATAAAAGCTCAAACACCTGCCACCTAAGATTACAAGCGTTAAATATCATTTGTAAAGCATTTTACAGTGCTCAGGAAAGGTGTTTATAGATGTGCAAAGTATTTCACTCAGAGGAAGGATCTTCCATGGGAAGTATATTGAAGGGCTCTGAAGAAAGCAAAGGATGTGTAGGGTTCTGAGCTGCATTAAACCTTTTTGTAATGTAATCAGAAGAGAAATCACTCTATGGATTCCCTTGTTCACATACCTGTTTGTGTCTTCTGCAGCCACTGCATTGTAAGGGTATGATTACAACTATAGTAAACCTGATTGCTGGAAGAGAGGCATGGTGTGCAGGTTTGCCCCTCCCTCCCACCCCCCCCCAGTCCCATCAATAGATGCTGCACACCCATGTGTTTAAAAGGAAATCAAGAAGGCATTTTTTTTTTTTACAGTATAGTTTTGATAATGGCTACCTGAAGAGCTGATGTGACAAAATGAGATGTCAGGCAAAAGAGGGGTTGGGGGAGGTGAGACCCAGATCTCAGCAATAGGATTCCATGGCTGCTCAGCTGATGTCTGAAAGTTGCATGATAGTGAGCAAATGTGTCATCTGTTACTAACTCAACAAACCAGTTTGGTACAGAGCAGGGTATGACATAGACTCAGCTCCTGCAAAACAGAGTGAAGAAATGCACATGTGTACAGACAGGAAATACGCCGCAGAGCTCCTGTGACAAACTAACAGTATGAGGTGATGTTTAGGTGCAATGAAGGAATTATCTTGGGGCTGGCACAGGCTGTTGCATCCTTCTAAAAAGGGTAATTGATGGATTGTTGGGAAAAGAGCTCACTGAATTTTTTTTGTTTTTTGTTTTGTTTGTTTTTTGGTAGAGAGACTTACTTTTTCAGAAATTTCACCCACTGTAGAAGCTGGCTTAAAGACTTTCAGTATTTCATGACTTTTGACAAACTGTACTAAGGAGGATGTGCTTTCATTTGAACGCCCCAGTGCTACTGATTCTGCTCTGTTTCCTGAAGTAAAAGGCTCTCCTGTATTTTCTCCTTAGTGGCCCAATGAGGGCACCCAATCTTAGGCTTCCTGCTCCTCAGCTGGCATGGAGAGACTCATCTCATTGCCTTCTGGTCAGGATGGGTCCAGAGTGTACAGTTCCCTGCCTTCACTGCCGATTTCCCAGCAAAGGCCTTCTCCTTTACAAACCTTACTCGTGGACTTGAAAGCCAGAAGAGATCGTTATGATCATCTAGTCCTGTGGCGCCCAACACGCTAGCCACATGTGGCTATTTGGCCAGTTGCGCGTGGCTAGTTTGCTATAGCAGCATGCGCCGGCTCCCCTGTCCCTTGCAATGCAGAACCACAGTGGGGGAGGGGCAGATGTGACTAGTCGATTAGTGCGAATTGATAAGCTCCTGCTTATCCGTTAGTCAACTAGTTACTTACATCTCTACTCTGAGGACAGAGGGCTCAGCCCCCCTCCCAGCGGTGCAGAGCTGGGCCCTCCCACCTTGCCATGGGTCCTAGCCAAGCTGTGGGTTCCCCTGGCTACAGCTATTAGTTACCACACTGTTAAAGGCATTCCAGAGAAGACCCATTCAAACAATAAAAGAACCTACACACGTACTAATAAGCATAACAGGCATCAACCCCACCAGAGGGGTTTCTCTGAAGTTGCAAATTCATCAAGCTTCAGCTTAGAACCTGCCAAGTCTTATGGGGCTTCCGTAGGCCTAGTCTGTCCAATGTTTCCCTAAAGGTTGGGGGCCATCCTTGGGCCTGCCTCTTTCCTGGATCAGGAAGAAGGACCAGAGGCTAGTGGACCAAAAGTGTGGCTTTCTGTGTGGCTCTCTGAAGAATCCAGTTTGAAGGGAGGGGTGTGTGTGTGTGTGTGTGTGTGTGTGTGGACATCCCCAGAGAAACACAAAGATGAGTAAGGAAAAAGCTTGCTAGCATCCACCCACCCTACTAGAGAAGATGCACCCAATTTGCATTTTAATACCATATACGCTGAAGCTATCAAAGCCTAATTCAGTATGATTCATCAAATTATTTTAATTCCCTAATGTATGCTCAGGAAATTCAAGATATTGCCAGTCTGTGTCGTTTTAGAAAAAAACAGGTTTAGCGGTGATTTGTTTTGTTTTTGGAGGATTGCGAACCCTTCTGCTTCAGGGCATGAACCAACCTTTGAAGAAAATTGGTAATAAACTCCTTATTCGGACAAGATATTTCTTAAGCATCTCTCTCCATAATGGAGTTTGTTGCACTGTTTCCTGAAGCACGTAGTACAGCCATGGTCAGAGATGGGACAGTGGGTGAGGTAGACCTCTGATCTGACCTGACATGGCAATTCCTGTGTAATACTGACTTAGAATGGCCTTAATCATAATTAAGTCTGACGACACATTGAATGTTCCACATGGGAACTTATCTTATGACTCTCTGTTGGAGAGAATATTAAACATTGTTCTGCAGTGAAGTGATTGCTAAAAGTAAAAGGCATTAGTGACTGATTGGAAGAGTTTCTCTAATTCTCTAGAAAGCCAAGGGATTTTTATAAACCCAAGCTGTGTCTTCTATCTGGTAATGCGACTCTTGCTCAAGATTAACCAGTATTAATTTTAAGTATACCTTGTATGGTGACATGCAAAATTGCAATGCTACAGTATTGGAGTTTCAATTTTTATTAGTATAAACCTCTTAGTCTGGTAAATGAGCCCCCCCACCTCCTTCCTTTCCCTTGGAAAAATACATTGCATGGATTTTTTTTCCCCAAATTTCATCAGGATTTAAATAGGCTGTGTGCTTCGGTCTTGTACATGCACAACACCAAATAAGTATTCTTTAGATTCTCTACTCTCTTGTGAACTTGCCTAATAAAAAGACATCTGGGGATGTAATTACAATATCAGGCTAAACAGAATCTTGGTAGCCTACTTGAAAACCACTCCACACAAGCTAGCGATGTTTTAAAAATCAAGAAGTTAGTTTATTTTCAGGTTGTTCTTAACTTGCAAAACTATTGCACTCCACGTTCATTTTATTCTCAATCTGATACACTCACTCATTGGTAACGGCCCAATAGTGGACATATTGTCTATCTTATGGGCCAGCCTCAAGGCCACTGAGTTATTTTAAGGCTGGCCCCCCGCCCTTTATTGGGCATCTTTGGCCCAGCCTGCTATGAGCCAAGAAAAGTGGAATAGTGTATGAGGCTGTGATTCTGATTTCAGTGGGTCTCTGCATAGGCAAAGGAGTCTGTTCTCTGATCCTGCACCGGAAGTCATGAGCCTCCTTAGTGTCTGAGAGAGAGAATCATGCTGTTTCTTAACTCCCTTGAACTCCAATAACTCTCATTTATTCCCTGAGTAGGAATGTGCACACTGTCCTCTCCAGACCTGAGAATGAGGCATTAAGCTTGCAATGAAAATGCTGTTCCATGTTGCTGCTCTGCCCACATCTCCATTTGATATTTCAGTTTACGGTAACTAAACCTTCCAGCCTGTTGGTTTAAGAAGCTAATCTGTTCTTCCTCAGCAGCGTGCACGCTCCTCTGGTTCTGTGAAGTCGTGTTAGAGCAGATGTGCTCGTTTCCCTCCCCTTTTACAACTCCATTTTGTTCAAGTGTGAGTATTGCAAACATTAGAATAATGTGAGAACTTTCTCTCAGTTATATAGGGGACTGCGAGATTCACATGGAAATATCAAAATTCAAAGGAGGAGTGAAAGGAATACAGGTGGGTACACTACAAATGTTCACTTGATGCTGTATTTTGTATTGAGGCAGCATGGCCCTGTGGTTAGGGTAGGAGACGGCGGCAGAGAGACCTGCGTTGCATTTCTGATACTGCCACTGGCCTGTTGAGTGACCTTGGACAAGTCGCTGCACTGCCTTGCGGCTCCTAGTCTTCAGGTGTAAAATACCATCTCCTGGAAAGCTCGGAGATTTGCAGGCAAAAAGTGCAATAAAATAGGGAGCTATTAAACCTCTTGGAACTTCAGTGACTGCAGAGAGAAGATTAACCCACTCCCCCCCTTCCCTTCCAGTCTAAGCACAGACCCTGTGCTGCTTGGGCATCATGCTGAGGCTGGGATTTTCAAAGGAGCGTTAGATAAGCAGCTCCCTTCGACCTGTTTGAAAATCTCGACTTTCACCATTAGCAGTCCTGTGGCACCTTATAGGCTAAAAGATTTATTGGAGCATACGCTTTCATCTGACGAAGTGGGTCTTTGCCCATGAAAGTTTATGCTCAAATAAATCTTAGTCTATAAGATGCCACGGGACTCCCCATCACTTTTGAAGATCCAGACTAACACGGCTACCCCTCTGATACTTGGCACCATTAGCAATGTGTCATCTCAGGTGCACAGGGGAGAAGTGCCGATTCTGTCCAATAAAGGGCAGTTGCACATGGTCACAACTAATCCCGGTATTCCTGGGATAGATTTAGGCGCCAAATGTCAATGTCTGTGAAAACCATCTACAAAATGTAAGTGATAAAGCTCTCAAGCACTTGAGCCCTATTTTCAGAAGTGACTTAAACATTTGGAGCCTGAGTTTCAGTCTCTTCTGAAAATGGGGCTTGAGGTCCTAAGTCACTTGGATAAATTTCTAGTGAAAGGCTGCTAGAAATGTTCAATGTCTGTGGTGGGTTTTTCAAAATTCCAGTGAAAATGGTTCCGCTTCAGATTGCCTCTTCACATAACTCATTACAAACTACGCAGATGTTCCAGCCCCAAATTAAGGGAAGATAAATGCTCTATGAAACTGCCCCTCAGATAAGAGCAGATCTGGGACCCTGGTGGTAGGCTGGGTATTGAGAAGAAATGTATCATACAATATTGGGTACCGATGTCAGAGCTTGAACTCTGGATTTCCATGTCCTCTTTGTGAGCTTTGGCCACACAATCTGAATGAGGCAGCAGTTCAGACTTATCCTGGCTGTTACCTTCAAACTAAAGTTTCCCTCCTCTGTCCTTTTCAGTTACACGGAACATTACGGATGATACTGGAACCACTTCTCCCAGATGTGCCTTTCTTTGGCGCCCTGACAATATTTTTTATGCAGAAACCGGTAAGTCTGTAGTGAATTCAACCTGCAGCCTGCTTGACTCCTGAGCTTTGCTCCTATGACGGTGAGGGCCAGTTCGCCTTTTAAATATGTCTGTCATAACTTGGTTACTTCCTTGCCTGATATTCAGTACTTAAAACAGAGTTTTGAACGGAGCTTTAAAAATGAGGAATGTGTGTCTCTCCAGTGATCTAGATAATATTATGAATGATGTTCTTGTGCATTTGCTCTCCTCTGAATGCACAGGCTCTGTATGCCTTTTATTTTAAAACTATTGCCCGATATTAATGCAATTAATAAATGCAGACATCTTAGGTGCCAGCCTGTGTTATCCTTTGCACTAAAGGCCTAATTGTGTAAACTTGTCTATACCACCTGTTGTAAATTAAATCCCAACTCCACTGAATCCTAGGAGGAGCATTTTCTCTTCCTAGGCACAGATTAGAATATGACTCATTCCTTTTATGTATTTCTGCATTGAGTGTAAAAGTGATTAGAGACCAAATGCACAAAGTATGGGGTCACACTTATAAATCCTTCCATGAAGCATTGCCCCTTAGTTAGCATTGACTGTAATGAAGATACTTCAAGTTCCTAGTGAGCATAACACAGTAGCTTCAGAGGGGTAGCTGAGTTAGTCTTTAAGGTGCTACTAGACTATTTTTTGGTTTTTGTTTTTCTTTTTCCCTGTTACAGACTAACAAAACTTGTGGATGCTATCATGAGCTTTCGTGGGCACAATCCACTTCTTCAGATGACACTCCTGAAGGCCCATGAAAGCTCATGCTACCATCTACATGTTTTGTTGGCCTTTAAGGTGCTACTAGACTATTTGTTGTTGTTGTTGTTGTTTTTTTCATAGCACAGTAGAAATTTAGACAAAATTCTGCTGCCCACGCGCTCCTGCACTGAATTCAGTGTGCGGCATAATTGCAATAGGATACATTTGATCATTGTGCATTCTGAGATTATAAGGATTCATGGCACAGACCATGGGACTATCCAGTGATCTCCAGTATAGGCTAAGAAGAACAGAGCTGTGGGGAGGAGGGTGAATATAGATATTGACGTCTGAGGATGGATTTCTGATCTACATTAACTTTGATGAAACTTTTGCTACTGTGTGCCTCTGTTGTAGTCCCAAACTAAAGCAGATTCTGTTCCAAGTCCATTAGTGACTGTAGAGGTTGGCCATATTGCTGGAGAGGGTGTACCAATACACCAGTGTTTTTTACCAATGTTAAATTATTTCAGGCAATATAACCAGTGTTCCCTCTAAGACTTTTCCTTCCATGATCAGAGTGAGTTTTGTCTCGTGCACCAATATTGAGATCCTGTGTGCTTGTTCAGATGTGTGCCACTGTTGCACGCACCAGTTACTAACAAATATCATATTCATTTTATTTTTTTATATATATATATATAAAAAAAAAGGACTGTCAAGTGATTAAAAAGATTAATCGTGTACACTGCCCTTTTGAAATACTGTGGCAGCGTTTCAAAGAGGCAGCACTGCATGGAGGCCAGGATCAGCTGGAGTCCCCCTCAATGCAGTTCTGCCCCTTGGAAATGCCACGCCAGGGGCAGCACCACAGGAGCCTGGGATCAGCTGATCCCGGGCTCTGCTTGCACCGCCCCTTTGAAATGCAAAGCAGCAAAAATGAAATCTACTCTTCTGCTGAAAATCCCTGTATGGCTAAAGGTCCTTGTGTTACTCAGCTGGATTAGTGCATAGATGAGGGTTTTGTCTTAGTTTGCTGAGACAACATCTTCACTTCGCTTTGATACTATGGTGGTCAATCTTCTGGAGTTTGATTTAGTGGGTCTAGTAAAGACCTGCTAAATGGAACGCTGAGAGTATCTTCATCGATACTGGAACTCGTACTCCATGTGAGGAGTACAGAAAGTAGACGGGAGCATTTCTTCGATCAACTTCCTACTGTGAGGACCATGCCGAAACTTGGCTTAAGGTGTGTAGACTCAGCTACGTTTTTTACATAGCTGAAATTGAGTACCTTAAGACGACCTTCGGCTGTAGTGTGGACCTAGCCTTAGTTTTTGGGGTAAGATCCTCAGCTGATGTAAACCATGTAGCTCCACTGACTTCACTTTACATGAGCTGGGGATCCTGGAGTAGAGGCTTACTAGAGGAAGTGGCCATAGCAGTGTTTCTTAAACTTTTTAAGACCAAGGAACACCAAGCAATTTTTTTTTTTTTTTGAGAAACAGCAAGGATTTTTTTGTTGAGCGCAAAAACAAAAAAGGGGTGGTGCTGGTGGGGGGGAGGATCAGGGGAAAGTTATTGAGGAGGATAAAAAAGGGTTGGGCTTATTGAGCAAAAAAAAAAGAGGTCACCTGCCCCTTTAAGGCTGGCCATTTTGAATTCTAGCGTTCTCCACGGCACACTGGTGTGCCATGGAACAGTTTAAGAAACGCTGAGCCATAGGCTAGTAAAATGCAAGTTTAATAACAAGAAATGGAGGTCTCTGGCTTTGGGGATTTTGTGGGGTTCAAGTCCATATTAGGAAGAACAAGGCAGAGGAAAGTAAGTTGCACTGTGTGACATGGAGGAAGTGCTAGACTTAATATTTCAAATAATTCCAAACTATCACTTTCTCAGCAGAGGGACAAGGTAAATGCCCTATTTCTGATTCAAGAATGGGAGCTGGTAGCAGCTGTTGTTAAGGACTAACTGCAAACAATCAGTTCAAATGCCTGTAAATCTTTTGCTCCAGATAAAAGAGAAGAGCTTAGTCATGCCACAAACCAAACCAGCTGCTTTGGTCTAGTCTGAGCTTGTATGAGGATTCATGAAGCTCCAGCCCTCTCTGGGCTCAATGAAAACTGGTTTTACAAAGGCCTTTCCAGAGAGGTGGGTCCAGAGTTATTGCACTGAGCCCGTTAGTCTTGCTACTCTGGATCGAGTGTTTGGGTTCCATTTAGCGCTGCAGGTTGTGTGACGTTGCTGAGTCACCCTAGCCACCGGGGAACGTGCTTTCCCAGAGCATTTCTTGTTCAAGCTGCCCTAGCTGGCATGGCACAATTGGAGAATGAGGTGTGCTCCAGGGTGTGGGGGTGCGGGACTTGATTCCTTAGTAAGCGTCTGGCAAAGGAAGTGTGCAAAGTCCCTGATCTCTCCCTTCAGAAGGATATTGGCTAAATCCCCAGTGACAGGCCAGTTGTGACATCCCTGGTTAATGTGTGGGGATGGAAATCAGAATGGTGCAGGGTGATTGTCATGTGGTGAGTCACATGTTCACCGTGTGTAAGTTATGCAGGTGATCCCAAATAAGCACTGATTAAACCTCAGTACTATGTTGCCCTGTCCCATGGTCTGTCGCTGCCGCATGTGGATCTGTAAGACACTGCTATAATAGTTTGAGTCCTTAAAAATATTGGGCCATATTTTCAGGGTCACTCATTTAGTTCCTTGGTTGTTAAGGGATGGTCTTTTTAAAAAAAATCCCTTTTCACGTAAAGCCCATTGTGTTATTTGGCTCTGGTCCCACTGAAACAGCTCTTTCTACCTATCCCAAAAGGAAAGAAATTCCACATTTCTGATTCGGAGCCAGAAAGTAGTGCGTTTTAAAGCTGTGACTTATGTAAAGAAAAAATGGTGATTGTCACGGAGCGGAATAACTGGGGCACAGAAGTAGGAAACAATACTCTGACATCCTGAGGGGAGTTTTTTAAAAAAATACGGCTCTGAATCTGCTCTGGCATTTGGATTGTTAGAATAGGTCCATGGGAAGTCAGTCAGTGATCAGTTAACTATGGTTCTACATTCTGTTGTGGCAATCTCTTCCATGTGTAATTGGAAATATAAACGACATAAGTTTGGACCAGCTAGACATACTTATGCTTTAGGGAATCAGGCAACAGCCAGCCGACAGCATTAGGAGGGCACTTCCCCGGTGGGCGACCTACCCCACAGTTTCCCACTATGGGATTCCTTACATCTTTTGTGAAGCACCCAGCAATGGCTACGACAGGATGCTGGACTGGCCAGTATGCTGCTCCAATAGGAATGTAGGGACTGCCATTTCCTAAGTTTTTGGAAGAAAAGATTCAAAGAAGCACTAGCTCCAGGACTTGGCAGCTCAGATAAAGGCCATTGGTTTTTTTAGGTGTAAACGCAATCCAGTTACTAGTTCAGAATTGTTTTCATTACCTAGCTGGCTATGCCTTGTGTGTTTTTTAGGTTCATTAATTATTTGTTGCAAATTCATTAATATGGTTCACTTTGGGGTTTTTTCCTCCTCCTTACTGTAGCATTTGGAAATCAACTGGGTAGGACTGACCAACCTCCTTGATGCCCCAGGAATTAGGTGAGTGTTCACTTCTCTTCTTTCTATTGCTTTTAAACAATGGGAGGGAGAATGGTATAGAAATGAAACCCCTTTCTCTAGAAACTGAGCCAAAAGATTTTCAAGAACTATGTATCATAGGAATTTACCCTTGGCCATAAATATATCTGGACTACCTGCAAAATCTGAACTCTACGTTTTACTGCAGGCATCAGAATTGCTTTTCTATCATCTCTTCACATTTGAGGCTCACAATAGAAGATTTGTCTAGCCATAACACTTCCATGTGGGGTTGCAAAAGACACTGGGGCCATAACAAGGCCTACATTTAAAAAGCTGGCTTTCCTTTCTGCACCTGCAAAAACTACTTTGCATTGATGGTTTGTGATGACAGACATCCAGAATTAAGGGATTTGCATACTGTATTTATTTTGAGGTGAAATATAAGCCATATATCCTGAGCTTTGTGTACTCCTTTGTAGTTTTCTTAATCATGGAATCCTATTTTTAAATCAACCACAAAATCCAAAAGGGCAGAAGTACCCCTGCTTTTCTCACAAGAAATTATCCTCACCCCCTCAGATTCCCAAAAATGCAACAAAGTTATGCCAGCCCTTCCCAAATGCCTGTTTGTTAAACTTACACAGTGAATGTGGACATCTTGCTGTTTGGCCTCATTACTCTGGATTTTCAAGCTATTTACTAGGAGCCAAGATGCATTCATTCCCTGCTTCTGAGTTCCTTCAGCGTAGCAGAAAACTCTTCATGTGACATGAAGAGGAAAAGGAAACTACACATTGGTTATTCACAAGTCATTTTTAAATTAAAAATTGTTTTGGGGGCTGGTTTTCTGTCTCTTCCCACCACCACATGCTGAAAAACACTTAGGACCAGATGCTCTTGTGCATGTTGAGTAGCCGCTTACTGTACTGAATCAAATGGGACTGTGAAGTTACTCAATGTGAGGAGTACTGGCCACCCTCACTCAGCATTTGATTTAGTGGCTCTTAACTAGACCCACTAAATTGAGCACTAGCAGCTCGATCTCCAGCATGGCAAGTGAAGACCTGGCCCTAAAAGCAACAATTCATTTGGTTCTCTGCAAAATGTTAGAGCCTGACTGCTTCACTCCATCCTACTTCCCTTGTAGTGACTTAACTTTAGAAGCACTCTGGTCATGAGACTGACTTATAAACACACATGCCTGGTTGTGAAACAGGCTGAGAGACAGGTTGAGCCAGAACGCTTCCATAAAATGACTGATTGAGGGGGAAGAATAAAGAAATACAAAATCCTGCCTACTCACTTGTTTGTTAGAAGCTACATGCAGTTGCATGGGATTCCAGAACTCTGTCATAGTCAAACTGTGCACTGCATCTAGATCATGGATTATGCTGGATAAGGCTATTCCTCTTTTCACTAACATTTTATGAGCAATGGGATGAGATGAGGGAGTGATGTGTTTTGTTTTGTTTTTCTTCTTTTTAAAATTCTGTTCTTTCGTGTAGACATAGACTTACTCATGCCAAACTGCTGTTTGTTGAAAGCAGTATATGGAGAGCCCTAAACTGTAAAGTAGGAATAAGAGATCCTCCGGAATAGGGCTTTATTCCGGAGGATCGGGCCAGTCTAGACGCTGTTTTTCCGGCTTTTCCCCAAGCCGGAAAAAAAGCGGCAGACATGTTTATTTAAATCCGCGGGGGATATTTAAATCCCCCGCGCATTTCCCTATTCCCACTTTCAAAATTAGCATGCCCCTTCCGAAAAAGGGGCCAGTGTAGACGTAGCCTATGTGTCCTACATGCTTCTGGCTATGTGGAAGTAGGTCAAATGCCTGTTGTGCAAATAAAGCAGTAGAGGGCCAAATATGAGGCTAAACCTGAAAGATTTTTTTACTGCATTTCATAGATTCAATAGAGTTTTTAAGACCAAATCATTCAGTCTAATCTGTACATTAAAGTCCACTAAATTGCACCTAGTAAACCCTGTCTAGAACTGTTGCTAAAACAGGGACTTTCAAACTCTGGGTCATGGCTTGTAAGGCCAAGCTGCAAGCTGGCTACGAGACTTTTTGTTTACTTGTGCCTCTGCAGGTATGGGTGATCACAACTCCCGTTGGCTGTGGATCACTGTTTCCTGTTCCTGCAGCCAGCTGGGGCTGCCATTGCCCATAATTGCAGAGGCGCAGGTGAACGGAGCATTTTGCAGCCAGCTAGCGGCTTGCCCTTACAAGCCACAACCCACAGTTTGAAAGCCCCTGGGCTAAAGCAAATTTTTTCCAAAAGGCATCCAATCTTGGTGTGAAGACTTGACAAAATGGAGAATCTATTACTTCCCTTGTCCCCATGGGCCACCTTCTTCACTGTTTAAAAATGTGTGCCTTACTTCTGATTAAACAAAAGACTATGCAGCACTTTAAAGACTAACAAGATGGTTTATTAGGTGATGAGCTTTCGTGGGCCAGACCCACTTCTTCAGATCAAATTGGGTCTGGCCCACGAAAGCTCATCACCTCACTACATCTCGGTTACTTTACTTCTGATTAGAATTTGTCTAGCTTTTCTTTCCAGACATTAGGTCTTACTGTTGAACAAAACCCAGCAAATTCAGCTCTGATGATGGATTAGCTGCAAAGTCCTGTATTCCTAGAGTTGTACATGAAATGAACCATTGCTGCTGCCTTAAGTCTGCAGCTCCTGTGTGGTTTTTTTTTTTTAATGGTGTACAACAGATCATAGAATCCTAGAACATTAGAACTGGAAGGGACCTCGAGAGATCATCGAGTCCAGTGCCCTGCCCTCAGGGCGGGACTAAGCACCATCTAGACCATCCCTGACAGGTGTCTGTCTAACCTGCTCTTGAATATCTCCAGTGATGGAGATTCCGCAACCTCCCTAGGCAACTTATTCCAGTGTTTGACCACCCTGACAGTTAGGAAGTTTTTCCTAACATCCAACCTAAACCTCCCTTGTTGCACTTTAAGCCCATTTCTGCTTGTCCTATCCTCTGAGGCCAAGGAGAACGCTTCCCCCCTACTCCCTGTGTGCTCAGTAAAGCAGAGATCAAACACATGATCTTCCTCAAACCATTTGCTTACAAAGGGGGGGGGATTTTAGCCTTTTAGTTTTAATTACTTATAAAATAGTTGCAGATGTCCCCGACATTGCTCAGATTCTCTTTTTTGGGGATGGGGATGCTTGAGTCAGGTCACAGTGTGAAGGGTGCAGGAGTCAGGGCAGGGGGCCAGGAAGTGTGTGTGGGGGCCTAAGGACAGAGGTCAGGGGGTGCATGCATTAGGGCAGGGGGTTGGGTGTGGTGAGGGAGTGGGGCTGCAGGAGTCAAGGCAGGGAGGGGAGGGGGTCCGGGTGGGGGGGT